CAACTTTCTGTTAGTTTGAAGCCTGCTACCCATTCATTTCATTTGGTGTCCTCTAGTCCTTCTATTATGGGAACTAATGAAGAACTTTTCGTTATGCACCCTCTCCACACCACTCATGACTTTATAGACCTCTATCATATCCCCCCTCCGTCTCCTCTTTTCTAAGCTGAAAAGTCCCAGTCTCTTTAGCCTCTCTTCATATGGGACCTGTTCCAAACCCCTGATCATTTTAATTGCCCTCTCCTATTCCACCCTCTCTCTTCCCCTCTCTCACCTCCTTTTCCCAGTCTCCCCGAGTTTTGTTCAATAAAGAGACTTTCTATTTTTGAACACACGTGTCCTTTATTTTGTACCTGAGGAAGGGGGGCTAGGGAGGGGTAAGTGGAAGGAGGTGAGGGAGGAATGGGGTACGAGCCCCCGATGGGGAGGACTGGGGTGGTTCTGCGGGCTCCGCAGGGTGGAAGCTCTCCTGCAGCCCCCTGATTGACCCCCGCCCCCGGATGGCAGCCTGTGGCAAGTGCAGCCGGGCTGATGGCCGAGTGCTGTGATGTGCCGTGTGTGGGCACTCAGGGCACTCCAAGCCAGGACTGCTTTGCAAGTGGGGCACCCCTGAGAACTGTCTGTCCGGGGTCGGGGTTGGGTCCCTTTAAGCACAGCCCTCGGCTAGCCTGAGACAGCAGCTCCTCACTCTAAGTCCTAATCTGATGCCCTGCCGGCACTGCTTCCGGCCATCCTTAACCTCGGTTCAGGGTCCACTCAATGTGGACATGCTAGTTCGAATTAGCAAAATGCTAATTCGAACTAGTTTTTAGGTCTAGATGAACTAGTTCGAATTAAGTTAGTTCGAATTAGTGCTGTCATGTAGACATACCCTCATATTCAAAGTATATCCTGTTCTGCTTATTTCATAAAAAATAATCTATGAAGTATAATTGTAGCCATGTCAGTCCCAGGATATTAAAGAGACAAGGGGGGAGGGATAATATTTTTTATTAGGCCAACTTCTATTGATTAGAAAGATAGGTCTGGTATAGAGCTCTGTGTATCTTGAAATGTTTTGTCTCTCACCAATAAAAATTAATTCGATACAAAAGTTATCATAAAAAAGTTTATCTAGATTCCTATGCACATGCAATTTGGAGAGAGGGGCGGTCACTGAGATGATGGAGTACCAAGAGTGTTCACTGTTCATAGCAACATAAGTACTGCATAGTCCTCCTGTCTTTTGTTTCAAATCCATATCAGAGTGCAGAGTGTATCAGTTCTAAGTGCTGACTCGAGAAGGAAGTGTCTGTGAAAAAGGAGCAGGAAGAGTCAAATGACTGAAAAGTGAAAGCCTGTGATTAAGAGCTAGCCTGGCATAGGAAGTGAGATGCTGTCCCTGGGAACCAGGGAGGAGGAGAAGCCATTTTGAAAGAGTCTGTTTTCACCCACAGTAAGGGCAGGACTAGGTGTGGTGAGCTTGTGTCCAGCTATGCCTAGACTACGGGGAAGATTTGAAAGAGGATATGAAAATTCTTCTTTCTCTCTCACTTTCAAAACTGGAGCTTTTGAAAATGAAAGTAGTTTAGATGTGACTTTTTGGAGAACCCTCATTTATTAAAAAGCCAAGTAAACTTCATTTTTTGAGGAAAAGATGCTTTTCAACAAAGGGGCAGAGTTCACCGAAAAAACCACGTCTAAACTACTTTCACTTTCAAAAGCTCTGCTTTCCCCATAGTCTAGACGAGCCCGCTCAATAAATATATAGCACAAACAGTTCCATCAGGTGTTCCATTTAGCATTGGCTTGATTAACAGGCTACATAAATCAATAGCAACTCACCCATTTTCTGCTGCCTTTTGTCTGCAATGGAAAGACAGAGTTGAATAAATGCATATTTCTGCTCCCTTCTCTAAACGTGTTCTCTAGGATGTTCAGTTTGGTGCAAGTGATGGTTACGTGAGTGCTTGAAACAAAGACAGCCACTGGGAACTCATGAATTTGTTATTTCACCCTGGCACCCCATAAAATGCTGTAGTCCAAATCTTGGAGTCAAATCCAAGTTCAAAGCTAATCTTTAGGGAAGCTCTTGGCACGGGAACAAGATCAGAAAGAAACCCTTGGATTTCTAACAGCATGAGCTCTCTTGAGAGCTCACAGAGAAAGTATAAAATGCTCAGCGACAGCTGTGTAACTTGTGAGAACAACAGATGAGGCTACCAAAGCTGTGCAAAGAGTAGGTGTCTGTCTCTGAAGCAGGCAATAACGTGTCAGGTCTCACTAGTTCTAATGTAATACTCTGGCTGCTAATCCAGGGCTGCCACCTGCTTTGAGTAGAGCTGTCAACCCTCTTGGTTTCACTGGCAGACTCCTGGGAACAGGACTGATCTGCTGGAGGCTCCTGAAGCCAAACTGAGATCCGCTGTGCTCTTCTCGATACATTTATAGCACACACTGTTCCATCAAATGTTCCATTTAGTATTGGCTTGATTGGAAGACTACATAGTTCAGTAGTAACTTACCTTCTTTTTGCTGACTTTTGTCTGTAAAGAAAAGACAACGTTGACTACATACACATTTTCGCCCTCTTCTGTAACAAGCATTCTTAGGATGGGTAATTTGGTGTAGGTATGGCTAGGTATGAATATAAAACAAAGCTTGCCACGGAAAACGCATGTCCCCAGGATTTCACAATGATACCCCATAAACTCTGGAGCCAATTTCAAGATCAAGGCTCAGCTTTAGGGAAATCTTGACACACACACACAAAATCAGAAAGAAACCCTTGGATTTCTGACCGCATAATCTCTTTTGAGAGCTCACAGAGAAAGTATAAAATGTTCAATCACAGCTGTGCAACTTGTAAGAGCAACAGAATAGGCTCCAGGCAGCTGTGAGAGGAGTGAGTTGGCTGTTTCTGAGGCATGTCTAGACTACACTCTTTTTATCGGAAAAAGCTTTGCAAATTGCGCTCCACAATTTACATGGCTTTTTCCAATTGGTTTTTCGGAAGAGGCTTTTTTGCCATTTGGCCCCGTCTATATGAGACCAAATAATGGAAAAGCCTCCTCTTTCAGAGGACCCCTTATTGCGTGTGAAATGAGGAATCCGGGGATCTCTGAAAGAGCTCATCTGCTCTTCTGCAAAAAAAAGCAAAAGAGCAGACGCATTCCCTGGACACGACAGGGTTTATTCCAGGATACCTCTGGTATCCCAGAAAAACCTTGCAGCATAGACATACCCAGAAGCAGGCAAGAAGGCCTCGCATCTCACTAGTTCTAGTGCACTGCTCTGGCTGCTAGTCCAGGACTGCCGCCTGCTGTGAGTAGGACTGTCAACACTCCTAGTTTCACAGGAATCTCCTGGGATCAGGATTGATCTCCTAGAGGTTCCTGAAGCCAAACTGAGATCAGCTGTGCTCTTGGCAGCACATAATGAAGCACACATGGTTCCAGCAGATGTTCCATTTAGCATTGGCTGGATTTGAAGGCTACATAAATTAGTAGTAACTCACCTCCATTCCACTTCCTTTTGTCTGCAATGGAAAGACACAGAGATGAGCAAATACATAGTTTTTCCCTCTTTTGTAAACTTGTGTTCTCTAGGATGGCCAATTTGGTGCAGGTGATCGTTACGTGAGAGCTTGAAGCAAAGCCGGTCACTGAGAGCTCATGACTCTGGAATTTCACACTGGCATCCCATATCACCTGCTGTGAGTAGGGTGCCCAACTAGTGTTCCCTATAAGCTGTGTCCCACCTGCGCCTCTCCTCTCCACCACTTGCACCATCCCATCTGGGCGTGGACCGCTCCAGCTCTGGCTCCCGCTTCATGCCCTGGGGGGGCTGCATCACTGGAGAGGAACTGCTGGGGCAGGTCTCCTCTGCCATCTGAGCCCAAACCCCTCACCTCTTCCACTGGGACCCCCAGCCTCCTCCTGTCCTCTCTCTCCAGAAAGACACCGACCTCCAGCCTACTCTTGTAACCTTCCCCTGGCCAGACATTTATCCTGATTCCTTCCCCCCAGCCAGATACCTACCCCTAAGGAGAGGGGGATTGGCAAGTGTAGTGAGCAGAGGGCATAGCCCCCTAGTATCCAAAATAGGGATAAGATGTGTAACTCTGGAAAAACATCTTCTACGTTAAATACATTTAACAGGAATGCATGAAACAGCTTACCCCAAACAGGAATCACTAGGAGGCTGTGCCCCAGTTTGCTATTCTCACCAACCCCCCTCTTGGCCAGGGAGTGTCCAGGGCCAAGGCCACCCTGTCCTGGCTCTTCCCATCCTGCCAGCTGCCACCAGGAGGCAGGACCAGACTGAGTATGCACCAAACCCAGCTCTCCACCCATGGAAACACAACTGGCCAAAGCATAGCGATGAAATGTACCATCAGGGCCACAGAGATCAGGCAGCATTGTTCACTGCCAGTATCACTTATGTTTGAATATCGCCATGCTTACCTGCAACAATCACCTGGGTATCGGCTTCTTTGTAGACACCATCACCTGTCACTTCACACACGTACTTCCCAGTATCTTCTTTTTGCACAGGAAAGAGTCTCACCGTAACAACTCCATTCTCATACCAGCCTTTGAGAGCATCACTCATGGGGTGGTCCCCAGCCCGGACCATCTCAGTCCCATTTGATAGATTATTGTAAAAATATAACGTTGTATTTTTGTTCCTTTCCAATCTATACCAACGTACTTGATAATTAGTGGGAAGCTGGCCAGTGATGTGGCAGGACAGAATCACACCTTGTCCGACCAAGGCAATTTCAGGATCAACACGTACAGTGACAGTAAAACCATCTACAGGAAAGAAAACAAATCAGGATCATCAATTTTCTTTGAAAGCATAACACTGGCATAGAGAGAACAAAAGGAAATAGTAGATGCAATTACCCATACACAACAGCCGTGTTATGTTTCATGTAGAAACATGCCCCATCTTATTTCTCTCTTTTCAGAATGGAGAAATTGTTTCAGATACTTGTTGTTAATGAAGCATTTCATGGATGCAAGTAATGGATTGTTCAAGCTCCACAGCTCAGGGAAGGTGCATCTAGACTACAGGGTTTTTTTGGGAAAATGGCCACTGGAATTGTGTTCTTTCAAAAGAAAATCGAAAGAGCAGAGGGTTTTTTTCTGACATTGTAAACCTCATATTATGAGGAAGAAGCCTTTTTTTATGAAAGAGCTCTTTCAGAAAAAGGCATGTGTGAACATGGAAGAGGCAGCTCTTTCAAAAAAAGAGGCCTCCAGGAAAAAGCACAACTGCCCTGGTGGACGCTCAGTCCACGCTAATTACAGATCTATAGTTCCTGTCTCCAGCCAGCTTTTAAAGCTGCAGGCACCCTGGGCAAACCTTGTGGCATGACGCTGGTCTCATAGCAGCACCATGACCACATGGCTCTCCCTGCCAAAGCAAGGACCAGCCATGGCACAGCCACAAGCCTCAAACCTCCTCTGGCCATTCCAGAGAGCAGTCCCAGAGGTCCCAATGAATCAGGGTCACTGAGCCTACATCCACACTGCACTGTATGTTCAAATAAGATACACAATTTCAGCTACGCAAATTGTGTATCTTGTTTTGATGCTATTTCAAAATAGCTTATTTCATTATTTGGTGCTGTCTACGCAGTGCCAAATTTCAAAATAACCCGCTATTCCAAAGCATCCCTTACTCCTCATGGAATGAGGTTTATGGGGATGTTGGAATAGAGAACCTGAAATAACTGGCTTATTGTGAAGATGCGGGTTAGCAATTTCAGGATTTTCCTGGGATCATGCAAAAATCACCTGGGAGCTAGACCGGCTCCAAACCACAATGATGTTAATCCCAGTGTAATGCCATTAGATCTCCCAAATTTTATTGGGTTTCCCTCTTCAGATTGCATCATGGTTTCCTTACCCCGGGTCAAGACAGGCAACAAAAGATATATTTATTTTCTGATCAGTAAGTAGAAAAAAATGTGTTCTTACCCAAAAACCTTCTTCCAATGAGAAAAATAAATGTAAGGACGGCAAGATAAGTGGCTGATTTGATCCAGAAAAGCATTGTGAAGTGAATGCAATATCATCCATCCAATTCTCTGAAATTGAAAATATCACAAACTATAGCGTGAGATATGAAAACAACTAAAGCTGGTCAGGAATTGTCCTAAAATTGGGGCTTCATTGGAAAATTCTGATTCATCAAATCCAAAATATTTATCGGAGACAACACACCTCGCCAGTTTCAGAGGAATCCAAGGTTCCAGGATTTGGGCTCTAAGGTGACACTGCCATGCACATGATTCCAAGACCTGGGGCCCTGAGGCTCTCATAATGTTCGGGTTTCGCTCTTTTCAGAAGACACCTCCCCAAAGTTTGGGGGACTCCCTATGAAGCCCAGGAAGTCTCTAGGTCAACAACTGAAACAATCACATTCTTTATTTCATTTGAGAAAATTGAATTTAACCCATCTTAATGTTTTCCCATAGTTTCAGTTCTGTGAGGAAATTTCAAACTTTCTAGTTTTTCTTCTAATAGAAATGAAAACTTTCGGAAAATGTAAGAACTTCCAACAGAATGGACATTTCGAGTTTTGATTAGTTCTGTACAAAATTATGTTCATTGGCATCCCAGGCGCGCCTGGGATGTATACCCGGCGTACAAGATGACCCCCCATTTTTGGGGGATGTTTTTTAACATCAAAAGTCGTCTTGTACGCCGGAATATACGGTAATTACATACTAAGGAAAAATATAGAATCCTAGGGCTGGAAGAGCCCTCAGGAGTCATCGAGTCCAAAGCCAGACCAACACCAACTAAATCATCCCAGCCAGGGCTCTGTGAAGCTGAGACTTAAAAGTCTCTAGGGAATTAAGATTCCACCCCCTCTCTAGGGAACCCATCCTAGTGCTTCACCACCTTCCTAGGGAAATAGTTTATCCTAATATCCAACCTAGACCTTCCCCACTGCAATTTGAGACCATTGCTCCTTGTACTGACATCTGTCACAGGCAGATGTCAGCCTCTCTCCATTCTCTTTGGAACCCCCGTTCAGATAGTTTAAGGCTGCTATCAAGCCTTTGCCTCATTCTTCTCTTCTATAGACTAAATAAGCCCAAATCAGCTTCTCCTCGTAAGTCAAGTGCTCCAGCCCTCTAATAATTTTTGTTGTCCTCCACTGGACTTTCTCCAATGTGTCCACATCCTTTGTGTGGTGGAGGGCCAAGAATTAGACACAGTATTCCAGTTATAGCCTTATCAGTGCTGAATAAAGGGGAACAATCACTTCTCTAGATCTGCTGGCAATGCTCCTCCTAAAGCACCCCAACATATTGTTAGCCTTCTTGGCTACAAGGGAACACTGTTGACTCATATCCAGGTTCTCATCCACTGTAATCCCCAGGTCCTTTTCTGCAGAACTGCTACTTATCCAGTCGGTCCCCAGCCTGTAACAATGCTTGGGATTCTTCCTTCTAAAATTGTCCTTGTTGAACCTCATCAGATTTCCTGTGACCCAATCCTCCAATTTGCCTAGGTCACTCTGGACACAATCCCTATCCTTTAATGTATCTATATCCGCAAACTTGCTGAAGGTGCAATCCAGCCCCTCATCCAGGTCATTAATAAAAATGTCAAACAAAACTGGCCCTAGAATTGACCCTTGAGGCACTCCACTAGAAACTGACTGCCAACCTGACATTGAGCCATTGATCACTACCCAATGCGCCTGACAATCCAGCCCGCTTTCCAGCCTCTGTACAGCCCATTTATCCAATCCATACTTCTATAAATATATTTTTCTTTAATAAAATGTGAGCAAGCAAAGGCTTCAGAGCTGTCAGTGCTTCCAGCACTCCACCTCCAACTTCCACATGCCAGCACAGAAACTCTGAGCCACAGGGTCAAGGGCAACCTCCTGAGAGAGTCCTGCAGAGTAACAGCTAGAGTAACAGAGTCCCGATCAGTCATAGCCCCATCATCTTAGCTACATAGACATCCTGTCATCATTAGAAACAGAAGCTGTATCCAGTGCACTTATGCATAAATATAACTCTCTTTTTTTCTCCAACGGCTGTCTTTACAGTAATATGTGTAAAGAAGAATATTGGAGTCATCCGTTAATCATATAAAAAGAATTTGATTGATGTCATCTAGTTTGAATGGTTATTATACTATCAGCTAGAAAATGTTCCCTATAATAAAAATGGTTATAAACAACCTGAGATCTATAGAGTTTGATGGATGACCTGTTGTGACACTCATAATCTTTTAAATTATGCACCGCTTAGCTATGACATACTGGGTCAAATTCAGTGTAATTCAAATTAAATCAATTTATACCAGATAACAATTTGATCCATTGTTTCATCATTTAAAAATAAAAGGAAAATTAAGTTAACTTCTAACCGAAATGCACTCCTACATTGTACTTATTCATAGAAAGGCACTGAGGTTGTGAGATTCAGTGAACACATTGTATTTTGTCTGATTAAAAAAAAGATCTGATTAAAAAACTGGAATGCTGACATAGGTACCAATGCTGGCCTCTCTCAAGATGAATTTTCAAAAAAAGATGAAATATAGATCAAAACAAAAAACAAGTGCTGCCCCAAAAAGCAACCGTTTGCTAAGGCCTGGTCTACACTACATGGGAAGGTCGAGGAAAGATATGCAACTCCTGCTATGTAACTTACAGTGGAAGGCTGACAGAAGCAAATGCTCCCATCAGCTTCCCTTACTCCTCTTGAGGAGTAGGAGTTCTGTCACCGACCAGGGCGCCCTTTGAGTTTGATCTGAGGGTTAATCATTTTTGTTTTATTCATTTTAATTGGAAATCTTTCATTTATTAAAAAAACTCAGAATATTTCCAAAAATCAAACTCTAGAATTTTTATTTCTTCCCCTTCCTCTTTTCTCACTGCTGAATGCAATAAATTGACTAAATGCAGTCTAGTGTTTGTTTGCTTGTTTGTTTGTTTCCTATTTTTCTGCCTTCTGTAACTTTGCAAACTGCCTCCAATTTTGGAAAAGTTATAGAGAAGAAACAAAAAAGAAAGGAAACCTTGTAATAAAATGAGAAAATGTTTAGGAATCAGGAAATGTCAGACCAAACAAAAAGCAAAAACCACATGTTGTAGCTTCGGAAACTCCAGATGAAAACAAAATTTTCTATTTTACTTGGGAAAAGATCATTTAATTTCATTCAGCAATTATTCCATGAAATATCAAAATCTTTCAAATTAAAACTCTTTATTTAACAAAAGAGGAGAGAAAGGGAAAAAAAAAAAAGCCACAGCAGTTATTTGTGGCAGGTGGAAATCACTTTGGGTATGTCTACACTAGCCCCCTAGTTAGATTTAGGGAGGCTAACGAGGGTGACCAAAATTGCTAGTGAAGCACAGGATTTAAATATCCCACGCTTCATTAGCATGTGACCGGGTGGTTGCCATTTTAGAAATTGACTAGCCCGAAGTAACTGCCCACGTCTACACGTGGCAGTGAAATGGGATTCCAAATTAAAACCCTTAAATTGAATTAGCTGGTAAACCTCATTCCAGGAGTAATAACAGCTACGGTAATTCGATTTAGGGCTTTAATTTGGAATCCCGTTTAATTGTTGCGTGTAGACACAGGCAGTTACTTTGGGCTAGTCAATTTCTAAAATGGCGATCTCCCGGGAACATGCTAATGAAGCGTGGGATATTTAAATCCTGTGCTTCACTAGCAATTTTGGTCACCCTCGTTAGCCTCCCTAAATCTAACTAGGGGGCTAGTGTAGACATACCCAAAGTGATTTTGTGGCTTGTTTGTTTTCCCATTTCTCTCCTTTTCAGATTCCAGTTACAACTGCCAGCTACAGATAGAGCAATTGCATGTAATATTTATCTCCTCAGTTAAATACAGGGTAGCAAAAAAAATTCACAGCCTCTTTTGTCTTTTCTTCTTTTCATGAACTGAGCACTAATTGCTTGCATACACATGCAATAACCCAGCATATTTTATACTAAGATATACTTTCCTATCTGATATCCAATCTGTTATTAAGAATAAAATTCCTTTTATGTATCTGAGAGCTGTAAAGATGCATCTAGTTCTGCCATCTCCACAGCTACTTCAGAGCAGATTCCCGCCTTAACGCTCTGATACAAAATTAAGAGTATTCATGGTAACAGATTGTCTTTATTTAAAAAAAATATAACATTTACCAAAGTAAAGTGCCTGCCTCCTCTTAGCAGAGCAACACTAACTCCAATATTATGTGATATACAGATTATTATCTATTACCCTCTGCTGCAATCTCAGCATGAGCCAGATAATATACATACATGAAACAAAAAACAGGACTATGTAGCACTTTAAAGACTAACAAGATGATTTATTAGGTGATGAGCTTTCGTGGGCCAGACCCACTTCCTCAGATCAAATAGTGGAAGAAAATTGTCACAACCATATATACCAAAGGATGCAATTGAAAAAAAGGAACACATATGAAAAGGACAAATCAAATTTCAGAACAGAAAGGAGATGGGGGGGGAGGAGGTAAATGTCTGTGAGCTAATGATATTAGAGGTGATAATTGAGGAAGCTATCTTTATAATGGGTAAGATAATTAGAGTCTTTATTCAAACTTAGGCGTAAAGTGTCGAATTTAAGCATGAATGACAGTTCAGAGGATTCTCTTTCAAGTATAGTCTTAAAAGACCTTTGAAGCAGGATGCAGGTAATCAAGTCGGTGAGACAATGTCCTTTCTGGTTGAAATGGTAAGAAACTGTTTTTTTCTTTGTGATCCTGTCTAATATCTGTTTTATGGGCATTGATCCTTTGGCAAAGTGCCTCTAATATCATTAGCTCACAGACATTTACCTCCTCCCCCCCCATCTCCTTTCTGTTCTGAAATTTGATTTGTCCTTTTCATATGTGTTCCTTTTTTTCAATTGTATCCTTTGGTATATATGGTTGTGACAATTTTCTTCCACTATTTGATCTGAGGAAGTGGGTCTGGCACACAAAAGCTCATCACCTAATAAACCATCTTGTTAGTCTTTAAAGTGCTACTCAGTCCTGTTTTTTGTTTCAGCTACACCAGACTAACACGGCTACATTTCTATCACTAATATACATACATGGTATGATAAATTCTGTATCTGCAAATAAGCCTCCTTCTGATCATATGCACTGCTTTATGAATGAATTGCTAATTTTCCTAGCTTCATTTTATGAAATACCCTGAAATGCATCTTCATTTTCACCTCAGTCATTCCATTTGCTTCAGAAAACAAGAATTAACTTTTAAAAAAATCCAAAATCTTCATCAAATAAAAGACAAAAATATTATAGAAATCATTTCCCTGGATTATAAATTACATTCTTGCACAGCAAGTCTGTGTACTCACCTCCGAACTCTCCCAGCAGACTAAAGTAAGCCCGCCAAAATCCGTTGGATTGTAAACAGCAGGTGTGGCCAAGGGCAAAGTACTCAGGAATTAAAAGAGAATGAAAAAAAGGCTGTGCATTTCTGTGTTTCTATGTGTGTGGAGATTGCCCCTTATCCCATTCAGATAGGAATTTGATTTGCAGAATCCACAGATACCCAAGATCCATTCTCAGGTGCATGTGACTACACAAAATGCAGGACAATGATGAGTTGTCTCAGTGAACCCTCTCCCCCATAAATCTAACAATGAGTGAGCCCTCAGAGGTGGTTATTCCTTGACTCTGCATCCATGGAAAACCAACCACCACCTGGAGGGCTGCCCACAGATCTCTGACCAGCTGTTGAAGTGTCAGTTCTCCCTCACACTCCTGCCTCAGGCTTCCAGTTTCCTCATTCTCCTTAACTAAAGGGGTAGGGAGAGTTAAGCCATGGTTATGACGGGCTTCTAGGAGATCCTGGGCCCTCCTCTCCATTAGGCTTCAACCCAGAGCTCTACAAGCGACAGTGACACTGAGAAGTGATCTGAGGCTGCCTTCTTGGACCACTTCATACCACTTCCCTTCCCAGGCCAGGGTGAAGTCAAAGTGCTGTGCACAATCCAGCAGGAGATGAATGGAGGGTGTCATAATCTTTAAGGACAAGATGGTCACTCCTCTGGGGTCTGATGTAACTGCTGTTTTCAGCTCCCTTCCCCTCCCCAGGGAGCCCCTTCCTCGAGATTTTGCTAGATAAGGCAATTTACATATATACAGAGCTGGAGTTGCATAACTTAGGCTGACCTCCCTTGGGGTAGTGTAGACCTGGCCTAAGTTTGTTTTCATATCCTATCGGTTACTGGTGCTCTTTTCAAACTCATCCTCCAGTTGCAGCTGGCTCTGCTTGTACAATGGAATGAGGGGTTGGGTCCTTCAGTGTGGGATAAATGTTCTCAATACCCTCGAGAAAGCACTTAGTGGATGGGTAAAGACAATGAGCATGGTAAGTGGGGATGGCTGATAAGTGCACCTTGCCTGAACTAGTTGAGATGCCAGAATTTTCCAGTAACCTCTGGCAGTGGCCAAAGCCAGGTGACCCAGAGGGAATGAGCAGAAAAGGGAATAATCAAGTGATCCACCCCTGTCATCCATTCCTAGCTTCTGACAGACAAAGTTTAGGGACTGCATCTCTGACCATCCCAGCTAATAGGCATGAATCTATCCCCATCAAGTGATCCACCCCTGTCATCCATTCCTAGCTTCTGACAGACAAAGTTTAGGGACTGCATCTCTGACCATCCCAGCTAATAGGCATGAATCTATCCCCCATGAATTTTCATAGCTCTTTTTGAAGCCTGTTACAATATCTTGGCCTTCACAACATCCTCTGCCAAGGAGTTTCACAGGTTGTGTGAAGAAGTATTTTCTTTTGATTGTTTTAAACCTACCACCTATGAATTTCTTGTGGTGACTCCTAGTTTTTGTATTTTGGAAAGTAGTAAATAACTCTTGTTTAGTCACTTTCTCAGCAGAAGTAATGATTTAATAGACCTCTGTCATCTTCCTCTTAGTCATATCTTTTCCAAACTGATAAATCTCAGTCTTATTAATGTCTTCTTATATGGCACCCATTCCATACACCTAATTATTTTTATTGCCCTTTTCTGAACTTTTTTCCAATGCAAAATATCTTTTTTGATATGATGTGACCACATCTGTACACTATATTCAAGATGTGGGTATACCATGTATTTATACAGAAGCAATATGATATTCTCTGTCTTAATCTCTATCCCTTTTTTAATGTTTCCTAACATTCTTTTGCTTTTTTTGTCGGCTGCTGCTGCACACTAAGTGGATGTTTTCAGAGAACTAGCCACAGTGACTCTAAGATCTCTCTCCTGAGTGGTAACAACTAATATAGGCCCCATCATTTTAATGTACAGTTGGGATTATATTTCCAATATACATTAATTTGCATATATCTCCAATTTGTCTACATCTTTCCTGGGCACAGTACTTCAGTTCAGAGCTGTCAGTGTACAATAGAACAAAATAATTATTTCTTGTGTTTTGCTCACTATACTCCAGCTAATCCATCCCAGTATGATGGTTGCCTTTTTTTGAAACACTATTACACATTTGACTTACATTTAGCTTGTTTGCCACTATAAATTCCAAATACTTTTCCACATTACTCCTCAGGGCATGTTTACACCAGGAAATTATTTTGAAATACCTTATTTCAAAATAATAAGTTCAAAGATATCAATAAGAATATCATGCGAGACCTTATCAAATGCCTTACTAAAGTCTAGGTATAGGACATCCACCGCTTCTCCCTTATCCACAAGGCTCGTATGCCTCATTCCTCCCCCACGACCTTCCACTTACCTATCCCTAACCCCCGTTCCTGATGTCAATTAAAATACACATATTTTCATGAACACAAACTCTCTTTATTTAACAAAACTGCAGTGGGCGGGGGCGGGAATGAAACTCTGGTGAGATTGGGGAAAGGAGGCAGGAGAGAGGAGAAGAGAGGCTAGATGGACCTTTGGTCTGACCCAGTACGGACATTCTAAGCTCAGGGTCGGGGGTCTCACTGGACCACCTTGATTTTCATGCAAACCTGCTCCGGTTCACATGTGACCTTTGGTGGCTAGGCTGGCAGCTATCCTGCTATAGATGACCGCATTCCTCTGTCTAGTGAGGAGATCATGGATGTTGGGGGCTTCCCCCCCAAACCTGAATAAGGTCCATGATCTCCACCCTGGACTAGGAAGGTGCCCACCTTCTCTGGGCCCTGGCAGGCTCCTGGGGGCTGGCAGACGGCTCCTGGGATGCAGTGGAGGGCTGGCTGCCAGTGGCTTTCTGGCTCATGTTTTTGGGCCACTAGGTTGGGGCAGTGACTGGTGGCTCTGGGCCGGCAGGCTTGGAGATGGCATAGGCACTGTGGCCAGAGTCTACCCCTTTAAGGGCTCCAGGTGTGGAGGAAGGGAAAAGAGTTTTCCTGGTTTGGGCCAGAGTGGCCACCAGGGGAAACAGGGAAGGCTGGAGGCCCCCTATTTCAGAATAAGCGTCTATACAGCGCTTATAGGAGGGAGGGAGAGGAGTGTTCTTGGTTGAGGCTGGAGTGGCCACCAGGACACCCTGGGAAGGCTGGAAGCCCCCTATTTTGATATAAGTGTCTACACAGCACTTATTTTGAAATAGCTATTTCGAATTTGATGTTATTCCTCGTGGAATGAGGTTTACCAAATTTGAAATAAGTGGTCTGCTATTTTGAATTAATTTTGAAATAGTGGTTTGGCTGTGTAGACACTAGTAAAGTTATTTTGAAATAATGGCTATGTAGACAAACCCGTGTAGACACGCCCTTTAAGATACCCTGCATGATGTGGAGCTCCTGGGTCACCCCCTTCCCAATAGTTAGTGCAAGGGCCATGACCAGAGAAGTGAAAAGACTAGGATAAGGGGCTGCCTTATCCACAGCAATCCCCAATTACTGAAATGGCCCTTTTGGGCTAATAGCCAAAATAATTTATAGAGATTCCCAGTAAATGCTCTAAATTGTACCAAGATGGCCTCAGGATGGGGAATCACATAGATGGCTTAACACCCTGTTGTTGTGTTCCATTCCTGACACACACACATCACTCCTTGCCCACAGCTCAGGATTTGGGCCTAGCACTCTAAAAATTATAGGTCTGAGTCTGCTTTCACTTCCTTGTGTGTCCAGCAGGAAAAACAAATTTAATGTGACAGGTTTATGTTGGCTTTGTCTCGCTGCAGAAACTGGGACATACTGGCCCACAGCTTTTATAAGCAAATGAATTCAAATAGATTATTATACTTCACTCTGCAGAAGAGTCAGGTAAAGGATAGGAAAGCTTGGATAAATGTAAGAGGGAAGGGTAGGGGCAAAAATGTGCTTAGATTGGAAATATTTCATCAGTCTAAATTTTGTCCAGCCACTGCTACTTCCTAATACAGTAGTTTACAGTCCCAAAATATAATTATTAGTGAAATATCCAAATCTTGTTATTTTACTGTAGAGGAAAATGCTGAACTTAGCAATAAGATTCTTGATACTGTGCATCAGAGCTGAAGATTCCATAAGGAAGGTGTGAGTCAGGATGGTGTTTTCAATACCTGAATCATAGGCCCAAAAACACTGTTTTTGAGAGGCTAATAAAATATGATATTGGACAAAAGTCACAAAAAATAGAAAATGGAAGCATTTTATTCCAAAATATGTAATGAAAATGTACAATTAAAATAGATTTTTATATCACAGTTCCCTCATTATAACCTTGATTTCAGTTACATTAATATAAAATCAGCATCACTGTCATGTTATATTTATTCCTCTTTAATTGAACAAATTCTCATTGTTGTTTCTTTATGGGAATTTTTAAAGAATGGACAAACCTCTCCTGAGAATGAACAATCACTAAATGTGAACAACACAGACATGTCAGTTACACTGAAGAAGGTCACCTGCCTCTCTTCATAACCAAAGTAAACTCCAATTTTCTTGGGCTTTTTCTGCACTATGACCCGGGTCCATGGATCTGTTTTTGCCCAATAATCTCTCCCACTCTGACCCAGGACCCAGAATCCCTCTTTAGGGGACAGGGACATTTTTCCTTTTCTTTCTATGGATTTGAGGGCCACCCCCAGGTCCCACTCAGTGCTGCTCTCGACATCCACCTCCCAGTAGTGCTTTCCATCGGAGAATCCTTCAGAGCCCAGCACACAGGCAGTCGAATCAAACCTCTCTGAATTTGGTGGCGATTTTTGAGGTTGGGGTTCATGTGTCAAACTCTTCTTATCCCCAGCAACAGAGAGGTTGGGATGGGCCGTGTCTGCATCCAGTTTGATGTCATCTACAAGAAGAGGGGAATTTCTTTTGAGGACCATTCCTATTATATTGGTATAAACTGGAATAGGAGGGCTGTATAAACAGTGAACCTTCTCCTGCTGCCTCTCCTCATTCACAGCTCCCACTGATTTCAATAGCAGGTTTGTCTGTGTAATAACTGCACGACTTGACCAGTGCTGGACACTTGCCAATTCAATCTGTCACCAACATATTCCAGAAGTGAGATTTGCTTGTATTTATACAAAAATAAAATTGATCCTGAAATGGTTATTACATTAGTACTCAAACTGGGCCAGTTTCTCACCTGCTACATAGGTGTCCATTAAGTGAAACTTTATTTAAATTCATGGCCAGCAAAGTACACATCACTTTCAGCACTGAGAACTAAATTGGATCCACTAAGTCTAGCATTAGGAGATGTTCCCTGTGTGAGGCATGGCGCAATATGCATCCGGTGATAGGTAATTATGAGCAGAACTTCATCATGAAATGAAGAATTCAAGCATTAAGAATTGTAACACTAGTTGTATCATTATGGTCCTATTTCTATCAGTGTAAATAAAGAAGATGCATGTAAATTATAGAAAATGAACATCTCTCCTCTGGGGCTCTCTTGTCCAGCAACATTTGTGGTGCACAGATGGTGCTGGAGCAGACAGCCCCCATCTCCCCCCGGGCCAGAGAGCTTCAGCCCTGCCAGGAGCAGCCCCCAAAGGCCAGCAGCCAAAAGTCGAACTGGGAGCCTAGTGACAGGGCTAGCAGCAGAGCCAGCTTGGAGACAGGAAGCCCCTATTATAGTCTGGCAACCAGGGCCAGCAGCAGAACCTGGAAAGGAGCATGGAGCCCAGAAGCTGGGGCCCAAACCTAGCAGCCCAGCACAGATAGGGGTGCAGAGCCCAAAGCCTGAAGCTGGGACCGGAGCTGGGGCTGGTCCCAGAGGCAAAGCCTGGCCAGGGGCACAGAGCAGGACTGGTGGCTAGGGCATGGGCCAGGCCAGCAGAGCAGCCTGGCTGACAACTGGGGGCACAAAGCCAGACTGACAGCCAGGGCCAGGGTCAGGGCTGGGTGAGTGCAGAATGGGGGTGGAGCCCAGTGGGGGACAAAACGGGCGGGGTGGGCGGCGGGGGGGGGAGCCATACTGGCCAGCAGCAGAGCCAGGTGGGGATGCAGAGCCCAGAAGGGAGCCCTGCCAAATCTGCTTGATGGACCCTGGAAGAATCTGGTGTCCATCAGCAGAAGGATCAGAACTGATCTCCACGGTCCAGCAAAATCTCTCATTTGGGGCTGATCAGGTCCCAAGGGTGCTGGACCAGGGAGGCGCGAGCCGGGGGGGGGGCCAGCCGGGGGGGGAGCCATACTGGCCAGCAGCAGAGCCAGGTGGGGATGCAGAGCCCAGAAGGGAGCCCTGCCAAATCTGCTTGATGGACCCTGGAAGAATCTGGTGTCCATCAGCAGAAGGATCAGAACTGATCTCCACGGTCCAGCAAAATCTCTCATTTGGGGCTGATCAGGTCCCAAGGGTGCTGGACCAGGGAGCTCCAACCTGTAACACATTATGGCTACGTCTACACTGGCATGATTTTCCGGAAATGCTTAAAACGGAACAGTTTTGCGTTATAAGTATTTCTGGAAAAAGCGTGTCTACATTGGCAGGATGTTTTTCCGGAAAAGCACTTTTTGCAGAAAAGCGTCCGTGCCAATGTTCCATTTTCGCGATCGGGGCTTTTTTCTGGAAAAGAAATCTGGGCTGTCTACACTGGCCCTTTTCCAGAACAGTTTTCCGGAAAAGGACTTTTGCCCGAACGGGAGCAGCATAGTTTTTCCGAAAAACACTGACTATTTTACATGAGATCGTCAGTGCTTTTCCGGAAATTCAAGGGGCCAGTGTAGACAGCTGGCAAGTTATTCCAGAAAAGCGGCTGATGAAAAGCGGCTGATTTTCCGGAATAAGTGGCCAGTGTAGACACATCCTATAATTACTCATTAAAATAAAGGTTTATCTAGTAATGAGACCTTCCATCAGGACCCCTGGGTTCTGTTTCCAGCTCTGCTGCTGTGAGAGGTTGGTCAGGTCACATAAGCTCTCTGATAGTCAGTTTACTCTTCAGTCACCTGAATATAGCGCGACACACACCAGGTGCTACATGGGGTTTTATTGTTGTTTGTAAAGAGCTCCGAGATTGTCAACAACTGGCAAATGTGCAAATTATTATCTCTGCCTTCATCACTACCAAATGCCAGACAAACGTTGACTCGCTTCAGACCATGCCTGTCTCCACTGCAGGGCCCAGGATGATCCCACTACCACTCATTTATGATTCTCTTTGCAGTCACCATCCCTGCCACCACATCATCTCTGCCTTCACTGTGGCCCACTTGCCAAGGGCCTCCTTAAGCCCTTCTGCAAATCCCACTCAAAGTAAACACTAAGGCCCAGCTCCTCAAAGGCATTTAGGTGCCTAATTCCCATTGTTACCATAATTTTTGAGGAGATGTGCCAAAGAGATTTAGGAATGCAGAGAAGCTGTGCGAGAGGCTGGAGAAGCCTCCAGAGCAGGAGGCAGCTCAAGGAGGTGCAAAAGATGATTCTGGTTGTTCCCAACAAGGCCCCTGAGATGGAATCCAGTGAAATGGGTGGGCCCATTCCCTTACCTACTTGGAGACTAAGGATCTAAAACATGGGAGATTTCAGGCTGTCTAGTCCCACTAAAGCCAAAGGTTTTCCAACTCTCCATTATCCTGAAGGGGACAGAGAATATTAAGGACACAGACAAAGGGCCAGACAATGAACTTGACAAATACAGAATTGAGGATGGAGGCATAAAGGAAGTGGAGTCAGGTGGTGTAGCTCCACGACCTGCCACACTGGTGCTAAGAGAGACAGGTCTTGTGTTACAAGGCCCTTCTCAGTTTAAATGGAATTTTTTCTCTGAAATCACATAGAAGATTTTGAAAATCATGTTAAGTCATTTACTCAGGATACTCTCTCACTCAGGACTGATTCTGATCCAATAAATGTGATTCAGGAGTAACTGCATGTAAGTTATTAGCATCAAAATCATATGAAATTAGGGTAAATAAGGTGAGGATCAGGCCTAGAAATCAGTTTGGGCACTGGGAAGTAAGGACCTTAGGAGCTGTGTCTCTGATGAGAAAAGTTTGTTTCTAGTTTGACGATGGTAGCAGACATGCTGATTTCTTTAACATTGGGGCAGATTCTAATGTATTGAGGTTCTCACACTGCATCTATCAGCATTCGCACCTCTTGCCTTGTGCTGTGTGTAACATTACCTGAATTGTTCCGAGCCCTTCTCCAGTCTGAAATGAAACAGAGAGAAAAACAGACACTGAATTAATAGAGGGTTTCACTGTAGATTTCCTCAGTTGATCAGCAGAGACTTTCCAGACTGAAGGCAAGTGAGTAGGGGCTCAGTAGGGGCTGATTCTTTTTACAGCGTTAATGTGGACAAAAGAGGAATTGGAATGGTTGTTCTCTCTCTTTCTTTATGTCACACACACGGCTGTTCTGAGCTAAGATTAAAAACCAGGGAATACTCCTGATTAGAGATCTGTTCTGTTTGCCTTGCACTTCCACCTGAAAAAATCACCTCACAAAGTTACCTGCCCACACTGCCTGTGATTTAACTTCCTCTTACACATTCCATTCTCACTGGAACAGCTTTTCCAGCCACCAGATGCTATAGTCACAGACACTGCTTTTTTTGCAAAAAAAAAAAAAAAGTGCTGGTACTGCAGGGGAAAAGTTGACTGGAGGTCACTGTACTGTATCTGGAGGTGCCAGTACTTCATCTGGAGGTACAATCACAAAAAAAGCACTCATCACAGCAATCCAGCTCCTCCTAGGCAGAACACAGAAGGACAATGACCTCCAATGTGTGTCTGCACTGCATCTGGGGAGTATAATACCCTCACATGGATAGACATCTATGTGCCAGCTCTGTTTGGATTAGTGCATTAAAAATAGCATTGTGACCATTCTGGCTCAGGTTAACTGCACAAGTACAATTTCACCTGGGCCCTGGGTATGTATTCAGGCAGTTAACCCAAGCTACCACTTGTATCATCACACTTACACAGCTGTATTTAACATGCTAGCTGGAGCAGAGCTGGCAGGTGTGTATATGAACTGAGAATTACACACCCCAGATGCAGTGCAGATTAACGCTAAATGAGTGCCACTTTGGCTGTGGCTACTGAGGTGTCTCAGAACCCATTGTGGCTGCCCAGGAGACCATTGTTCTATCCCTAACCTGAGGCTGAGACAGACAAGAGGTATCAGGCCATATCTCCCTTTCTGCTATGTAGGTATGAGCAGGGAGTGGAGCTGCAGTGTGTGTGCCTGGAGTTGCTGTACACTCTGCTATGGATGGGGAGAAAATGGACTGTCAGGATCCTCTTCTCCATTAAGAGTACCTAGGGAGATGGAGGATTAACAGGAGAAATGGTCCCTCTCTAAATATCCAAGCAATCAGAGAGGGAATACCAGCAAGGGTGTAAACAAGTCTTCACTCACCTAATTCCTTCTGCATTTCACCTGGAAAAAAATCAATTATTACAGTCTTTAAAATTCTTGTTCAGAGTTTCCTTGTAACCATGGATCAAAGATTACCCAGGAAATGAATTAACATTTTGCATAATCTATTATGACTTAAAATAAAAAAAGAGCCAGAGAAATTGATAGCCAAATAGCTGGAATCATAGAATAATACATTATTAGAACCAAAAGATAACTTGGGAAACCATTAAGCCCAATCCTCTGCAGTCACAGCAAGAGCAAGCCCTGTCTAGGTCTCTATCCAACCTGCTCTTAAATATCTCCAGTGATGAGGCTTCCACAGTTCCCTAGGCAATTTATTCCAGTGATTAACCACCCTGACAGATAGGAAGTTTTTCTTAATATCCAACCTAAACCTCCCTTGCTAACGAGGTGTAACTGTTAACTCAAACTAAGTCCTTAGTTCGAGTTAATGTTTGACTGCCGCGTGTAGCCGCAGGCAGTTAGTTCTGACTAAGGGGATTTAAAAATGGCACCCAGATGGGACGATGAAAATAAAGCCTGGGATATTTAAATCCTGGGCTTCATTTGCAACTTCGAATGCCTACATTAGCCTCCCTAGTTTGAACTAGGGGGCTAGTGTAAACATATCCAAAAGTGGGAAGGAAGTGTGAGTTTTAATGATACATCAATCATTTTTTTTCTTTTCATTCTACAAGAGTCCTACAAATTAGTGGAATACATGAAAGAAGAAGTATACAGACTTACTTATTTTCTTCCCCAAGTTCCCTAAAAAAGAAAAAAAATAGCATCTTTTGTCATAAAATGGCCAAGAATGAAAGTAACTAATAGTTAAAACATTGGAAGCTGTATTGTTCTTTTGGAAAATATTTATGAGAGAGGTGATGAGATAATGAGCACCATTAAGGTTAAGGCCAGAAGGGACAATTTTTATCATCTATCACACAGTGCAGAGATCTTTCCCAAAATAATGCCCACCTTTATTACGACAAATCTTTTGGGAAAAAAAACATCCAATCTTGATTAGAAATTTCAAATGAGAGACAATTTGTTATGAATTTTGGTAATTAATTCCAATGGCTAATCTCCCCTATTCTTAAAATTTTGTAAATGTATTTAAAACGTATTTCCCATCTGAATTTCCCTAGCTTCATTGCCAGCCATTGGGTCTTGTTATACCTTTCTCTGCTAGAGCCAATTATCATATGCTTGTTCTCTATATATGTACTCATAAAGTGTAATTAAGTCTCCCCTTCACTTTGTTAAGCTAAACAGATTGAGCTCTTTGAGTTTATCACAATTAAACACTTTACCTAATACTTCAGTTATTTTCATGAGTCCTCTAAAAAACCCTTTCCACTTTATGAACTTCCTTCTTCAACTTTGGTTTTGCTGAAAATTTGGTTAACATTTATTTTGGCTCATCTTCTGCAGTGTGATACCCCAAACCGGAGCAAGCAGAATGGCCATCTACCGGTTAAAAATACCCAGATTCTCCTTTGTCCAAATTGCAAAACTCACTCTCCACCTACTCATGTAAAAGGAGAAAGACCCTTCAACCGTTAATGAAATCCTTACTCTTCCATGTCCATAAATGGGAAAATGACTGACCCTTCTCCATCCAAACTACGGATGTCAAAGGAAATTTACCCTTGTCTTCCTTGATTTGGTTTACAAAAGAATAACAAAAAGTACTCTTTTCAATATATGCACTTTATTGTTCTCCTGATCTCAATGTAATCAAAGCAACTGAGTTCATTCAAGGAAGAGTCAAGTCTCAGATTTTTTTTCTAAGTTTCTCACTCTGATCCCATTGGGGGGGAGGGCGAGGGATGCCAGTTTCATTAAATCTTAATAATTTCTTTGTTGATTTATTTCATGAAAAGGGTAGAGTCCACACATGTTACTATTATCTGAGTGCAAACAATACAAAGTCAGTATGAGTTAACTGATTTTCTTCTGCAAGAATTCTGAACATTAAATGTTACCATGAAATAAAAATCTGGTATCTTACAGTAAATGTGCAACTTGTGGGAAGTTCACTAGGCACAAGATATTTATTTAAATATATTCCACCTCCTAGAGACACCGCCCAATTTAGTATAAGGTAAGATGGCTTCAGAGAACAGTGAATGGGGATGTTCTGTTCAATATACAAGGAAGAAGAGGAGGTAAACAACAGGCATCATGAAACGTAAGTTGTTTGCCCCAGTTTTCTGTCTCAGTCTATAAATGGTGGGGAACCTTGGCTGAACTTTTTATGTGGCCTGGGAAAAAGCAGAAAGTTCCACTGCTGAGGAGCTGTATACACTGCAGAGTTTTTCTGGAAAAACTACACTTACGTCCACACTACAATTACATTCTTTCTACCGATTATAGTAAATCTCATTCTATGAGGAAGAAGCCTTTTTCTGAAAGAGCTCTTTCAGAAAAAGGTATGTATAGACACGGAAGAGGGAAGTTTTTTGAAAGAAGAGGCCTCCAGGAAAAAGCTCTGATGGCCATTCTGTCCACAGTAATCAGAACTTAATTGCAAGATATTGTCCGACCAATGCGGACACTATCTTTCGAAAAAGCAGATTGCTTTTTTCTTATGCTTTTGCTGTGTGCACACACTCTTTTGAAATAAGTGTTTCTGGAAGATTCTTCTGGAAAAGCTTCTTCCAAAAGAAGCCTGCCATCTGAGGGATATCTCAGTGGTTTGACCATTGACCTACTTAAACCCAGGGTTGTGAGTTCAATCCTTGAGGGAGAGATTTAGGGCAAATCTTTCAGGGATGGTACTTGGCCCTGCCATCCAGGTAGGGGACTGGACTAGATAACATCTCAAGGTCCCTTCCAGCTCTATGAGATGGTGTATCTCTCTCTCCATATATATATATATATATACACACACACACACACACACACTTGTGCATGTCTGCATTTTGATCCTTGCGTCAGGCCTGGAACCCTCATATGTTAGTGTAACTAACAGAGCCAGGGTGTTATGACCCTTCCTTAAGGACAATAAATCTGGCAGAATGTTTTGTCACTGATCCATGCCTGTGGGTGTCCTTTCTTTATGAGTATCACTGAAATATACTGAATTAGCAACCTACATTATCTGTTAGTGCTGATAACAGAGAGTGTCAAGGGTAGAAGCACAGCGTAGCTTGAACAGCATTAATGAGACAACAATTCAGTCTTCAGCACACAAGAATCCTGTAAATACTTTTTTTTTCAAAATACCCATGTTCCAATGGAGAGTTTCTGTAAATCCCTTCATCTAGTAGTGAATACACTGGGTGGGAAACCAGAATATCTATTTCATGCACTAGAAAACATTCCTATGTGACCATCACTACTTCCTTTCAATGGACGTTTTCAGTTCCAGGAGATTGTATGTTTGTTTTCTCATTCCTGATTCTTCTTCAACTTCTTTTGTTCAGACTGTATTTGCAAAGTGCTGCTCAGGTCTCAGCTCTTTGACATACATGATTCAAGAGACGCCAGTATGGACCCTCCTCTTCCCTGGCCCAATAGCCATACAATAAGTGCATCCCTATTACATTTGAGGCTTTTAGAACCTATACAGGAGATTGAAAGTTTGCTCTGGACTGTAAATATTTAGTAAATTAGGCAAACTCACCTGTTCCCTTCTGGAGTTCTTCTGCAAAAGAAAAAGTAGAAGAAAAAGAAAACAATTCCGGGTATGTCCATGGAGATACAAATTGAAGAGGGTGTATGAGATCCTTACTTTCTTGATTAGCATAAAGAATAATCATAGTGCATGAAGCACATAGACTAGTCATAGATTAGTCAATCAGTGAGTTTGTCCAAGGCCCTTCCCTCTACATAGTAGAAAGACAAGATTCTATTCTTGTTTGAATAAGGGTACGTCTAGACTACAGGCTTCTGTCGACAGATACTGTCGACAAAACTTCTGTCGACAAAGAGCGTCTAGACTACATTGAGTTCTGTCGACAAAGCAAGCTGCTTTGTCGACATGGTAGTGTGGACGCAAAGGACAGTTTACATGCAATAACACCTTCTGTCGACAGAAACTCTGTCGACAGAACGCGTTATGCCTCGTAAAATGAGATTTATCAGCGTCGACAAAACTGCTGAGTTCTGTCGACATTATGTCGACAGAACTCAGCGGTAGTGTGGACGCAGGTATAGTTTTGTCGACAAAAGTCCACTTTTGTCGACAAAACCCTGTAGTCTAGACACACCCTAAGTTTAACAAGATGCTTCATGATCCTGAGTATTACACTCAATGCTCTTATGCTGGCCTCTTTCACAATTGTCAAATTGTGACTTCTGGGGCATTTTATAGACTTTTCTGAAAGAACTATTAATTTTCATTCATACTTTTCCATTTAACTTTTTCTTCCCAGTCAATATTGCTTATAATTTCCTTAGCCCTTTTGAAGCCTAAACCATATGTATGATTCTTCGAGAATGCCTTTTGTTTGCTTATATTCAGTGTTATTGGATGATAATCACTGGTGCCTATACAACCACTCATACCCTATCCAGTGATCATTTTTGTCATACTGAGCTCCAAAATATAGTTATCTTGTGTTGAGTTCAACACCATTTATGCTACAAACTATGCTCTATATTTTAGAAATACTAACAGGTTTTGTCTACACCGCAAGTTTTTGCAGCAGAAAATATGCTAATGAGGGACTCATTTGAATATTTTCTGCCATTTCTTTTTGTCTAAGGGGTTTTTGTACAAAAAGGTAGTGTAGTTGCTTCCGTTTTGCACAAGATCTTTATGCCTCTCCTGGGGTTTTTGCACAAAAAGGAAATGTCTATAATGCTTCTTTTTGTGCAAAAACACCTTGCACAAAAAGAAATGACAGAAATATGTAAATGAGATTGTGACACATGAAAATGAGTCCCTCATTAGCATATTTTCTGCTGCAAAAAGTTGCAGTGTAGATGTAGCCATACTGTTTTATCACAGATTACACAGACTTCCAGTAGTAGAATAAAACTGGCAAAAAGTCAAAGCAGAATTTATGAACAAACATCTTCACGGTTGCACTGTGAAAAAAGACAACACTGGCTAATGACTAAAGGGGCAGGGAAAATCTCACCTGCCGAGGAACGATTTTTCTGCCTTTCTGAATGATGAGAAGAAAACAACATTTTTCAATGACTAAATACATATTTATCAGTCTATACCTGTGCACACATCTTCCCATTGTCTAACTGTGCAGTCATTGAAGCTAATGGAAACACCTTTTAACTTCAATGGGAGCAAGTCTCAGTTTCCTCCAAACCAACCAACCACAACTGAAACCAGACTAACCATGGAGAAAAAGCCAAGTAGTTTTGATAAGATAGTAATTTTAAAAATATTAAAATCTTAAAAATTATAATGTGTCCAGAACTAAATAAACAACTAAAGACAGATCAGAATAACTGAAAATTATTCTGATATAGCTTCATCTTATACAAATAAGCAAGTGTTTCAAATTCTATTCTCTAGATTTCAGATAGTTCACTGAAAATTATATTGATTTCAAGGGGAAGTTACAGTCCGGAATCATAAAATCATAGAATCCTAAGGCTGGAAGAGACCTCAGAAGGTCATCAAGTCCATCCCCTGCCCAAAGCAGGACCAACCCCAACTAAACCATCCCAGCCAGGACTGTGTCAAGCTGGGATTTAAACACCTCTAGGGATTCCACCACCTCCCTAGGGAACCCATTCCAGTGCTTCACCACCCTCCCAGTGAAATAGTTTTCCTAATATCCAACCTAGACTCTCCCACTATGACTGGAGATTAGGGCTGTCAACTGATCTGTGTTAACACCTGCAATTAACACAGGGCAGAATTAATGCTTTAATATTTGTAATGTGTTAATAGCAGGCATTAATGCTGTGCCACTCCTTTGAAGTGCTGCTCTGGCTCTTCAAAGGGGCAACATATTAAGGGCCTGTGATCAGCTGGAGCAGCACATCAAAGGGGCAGTGCAATGTGGAGCCAGGGACCAGCTGACCCTGGGCTCCCATAGTCCTGCCCCTTGAAAATGCTGGGGTGGCCTTTTCAAGGGGCAACACTATACTGAGCTGGGGACAACTGGGGACCCCAGATGATCACAAGCACTGTGAAGCACTACCCCTTTAAAACACTTGCTGTGTTTCAAAGGGACAACACGAGCAGATCCCTGTATCAGCTGGGCTGAGGACTCCAGCTGACTCCCAGCTCCTGCCATGCTACCCCTTTGAATGCCACAGCTGTGTTTCAAAGCAGCAGCTATCCTGAGCCTGGGGTCAGCTGAGGACTCTAGCTAATCCCAGGCCACAACAGCATTTCAAAAGGGCAGTGCACATGATTAATCACGCAATTAATCATGATAAATTTTTGTACTTGCTTGACAGTCCTACTTGAAACCATTGCTCCTCATTCTGCCTTCTGTCACTAATGAGAACAGCCTCTCTCCATCCTCTTTGGAACCCCTCTTCCAGAAGTTAAAGTTGCTATCAAATCCCCTCTCACTTATCTCTTCTGTAGATTAAATAAGCCCAAATCCATCCTCCTCTCCTTGTAGGTCATGTGCTCCATCCCCTAATCATTTTTATGGATCTTCACTGGACTTTCTGTAATGTTTCCACATCCTCCCTGTAATGGGAGACCAAAATAAGATGCCTTCTCTGGGTATCTTGGAGGGATGGCAGGTGCTCAGTTTGAGGGGTGGGAAGGACTGGTTTCTCATCTCTCAGAGAAGTTGTGAGGTGTTTGGCGGGGCCACTGATTGCTGGGTAGGCAGGTTTGAGGAAGCATTGAACTCCAGCATCCTCAACCAGAGATGTGCGATAAAACAGACATCCTCCCTCAATACTTGTCCAACACAGCCCTGCAATATCTCCTCTCCACATGGATTTGCAGAGGGATCCTCCACCAATCGAAGTTTCCATGTAACAGTCTAGCTGCATGTAGGGCTGTCAGGGCCCATGACTGAGGTGTAATTCAGAACACTCACCATTTGCTTTTTGGAGTTGCTCTGGGAAAGAATCACAGAGAAAAGAGAAAGAGAAAAATAATGAATGGCCGTGTATGTTTTAGCCATCTGTAGAGCAAGATTAATACAAATGTTGACGATGACTATTGGTCATTGAGCAGGAAAGAGCCTTTGCCAGCTCTTGTCATTCTAAGGAGCTAGTCACATGCCCATTTTTCTCCCTAGAATGCTAGGAGAGAGATTAGGTATCCAACGTATAAAACCATTTCAGCAAAAACTTTTCCTGTTATGTGCAAGTGGAAAAGAAGTCCACGGGGCACAAATCTAACTCTCAAGAGTCTTGCTATTATTTACTTAATGAATTGTGTTCTATAGTCACTCACAATGCTCAGTCCTTTTGATTTGTACATTTTCTTTATTGTGATATCTGGTTGCTTGAGAATTACGTGGCCTAGAGTATGATTTGGGGTGTTCACTTGAAAATGCCAGAATATAAAGCAAAACTACAAACATAATTGGCAAAGAAGCTAGTATGATGTTTCATGGTCCTCTGCTTTCATGGTGTCTTTGGAAGTTTAAAAGAATAGCTGGGGAGGTAAATGAGCACCAGCTCTCAGATGTCCCTCAAGTGTGTCAATGCTATTCACAATGCAAACCAGGGAAACTGCTTCATCAATAGTGGGAAGGATGAGCGAGGTTTAAAGATTAATCAATCCTTTTTTTTCATTCCCCAAGGCTCTGTCTACAGTGCAGGCTACTTGCATAAGAACTTTTGTGGAAAAGCACAAGAGCGCCCATTACATTTTTAAATCACTCGATTAATTGTGATTTTTTTTAAATCTCTTGACATCCCTTCTTCAGACCTCGGCTCCTCATTCTCCCTTCTGTCACAGCTGAGAACAGCCCCTCTCCATCCTATTTGGGACCCTCCTTCCGGTAGGTAAAGATGCTATCATATACCCCCTCATTTTCTTTTCTGTCGACTTCATAAGTTCAAATCCATCATCCTCTCCTCATACGTCATGTGCTCCAGCCCCCTAATCATTTTTATTGTCCTTTTCTGGACTTTCTGTAATGCGTCCACGTCCTTTCTGTAACGGGGGACCAAAATTACTTTTTCCTCTGAAGCACAACAGAAACATTCATACTAAAATTTCCTGTAATATATTAGGTCAATGAAAACATTTGGCTTTCTAAAACTATGATTTTTTCCCCAAATTTGATAATTTCAACATAAAAGTAACTTCATTTTGAAATAAAAAAAACTACCAGAAGTTATAATACTTTTCTGCTTGCTTGCTTTCAGTCCCCCAGATTTTGTTTGTTTGTTCTCAAAACATATGTTCTCATGGAAATATTTTAAAAAGCCCTCAGTCTGGTAGCAAATTCACTAGACCATTAAGGAGAACTTCTGAACTCTATTTCCAGTTCTAGCAAATATTTCTGTGTGATTATTATCACTTTGTTGACTAGAAAATTGTCATACAGCTTCATTGGGGTGCTCTGCATGGGACATGGGTTCTCAGTCTGGGAGCAGCTCTTTGGAGAAGACTATTTGAGACCCATTGCTGTATCATGGTCTGGTCAGAATCTCTGCATGGGCTTTGCCCTGCTGCACTCCTCAGTACCTAAAACTTCTGCACCCATATCCTTCCCACATCAGTACCCCAATCTACCCCCGGTGGTAAGAAGGAACTAAATGGGGAAGGATTGACAAAGGACTATATACAGCACAATAACAATGCCACTCCATGGTGTTTCAAGCTGACTGATGGGTACTGCTAGGGGTAAAGACTTGAGATGACAGTGAACATGAAAGTGTTATGGAATAGCAAGCCCTATGGCCCATATCTATGTGAGCCACCTACATCACCATATGGATTTAAGCAATCACTCAAAGAAGAATTCCCCCATAGGATACTGTAGTAAATACTAAAGTTGATTAACACTTACAGAGGTCTGCACGGTGCAATGCAGAACTAGTTGCTAAACATTTCCCTGATAAACTTAGAAACTAAAGCACAATCTTGCTTGGCAGTCTCACCTGCCAACCTGGACCAAGAAGAGAAAGACCACCTGATAGTGAAAATACCCTGACTCTCCTCAGTCCCAGTTACAACACTCGCTCATTTCCAAGTGACTGCAAAAGCAGAAGGATGCCACCCTCTCAGGCTCTCTCTAGACTTTAATGAAAAGTTGGAAAAATATATGCAAAGATACGTCTCTCGGAAAAGCTCAGCAGTATAGATGTAGGCTCAGACATTAAAGAAATCCTGCCTCTACTGTATCCTTCAATGGGGAAATGACAGACACTTCTACCTCCAAACTGCAGAAGTCAACTCCAGCTTACCCTTTTCATCCTTGAGTTGGGCTGCAAAAGAAAAGTTTTCTTTCCTGAGTTGGGCTACAGAGGAAAACACAAAGGACAATATTCAATATATGAAATATATTGTCAAATTAAAGGCCCAACCCTGATCCCAGTGAAGCCAATGGAAGTCTAGTCACTGAATTTTTTGAAGGAAGAATTTAGTTTTGTATTCAGGAATGCTCTTTTTTTCCACTGAAACACTTACTCTGCCCCAAAATAATTGGATAACTGCATGGAAGCGTTAAAATGTCTCCTTCAATTTGTTATGTAAAAAAAAAAGGTTGAAGCTGAATGGGGAAAACTATTCTCCCTCCGTCTCTGTCAAGTGGAATAGAGTATCTGCATGGCCTGTGTTATTACAAGCTCTGAATTAGCTCTAGCAAGTCACTTTACCACTACTCACCACCCAGAACTTTTTCATTTAGTGGAGGGATTCAGTTCCAAGACTGAGTGGACATTTCCACTCCCTTGGTCTGACTCCCTTGGATTTCTCCCCCCAACAAAGTGCAGGTAAGATTTCACTTTCATGATATAACACAATACCAGAGTGACCTACACAGACTCTCCAACCAGACCCATGGGACCTTCAATGACAGCATATCCGATGCAGATCACAGAATCATAGAACACTAGAACTGGAAGGGACTTCAAGAAATCGAGTTCAGCCCCCTACCCTCACAAAAGGACCAATCAACCTCTAATAGGAAGATTTTACATGGATTTGTAAATGTGAATGAACTGCTCTCAGTCCAGCTCCCATACATGTTCACATTCCACCTCACAAGTGGCTTTATGACCACCGAAGGATAAGTGTATGTGAGTTAAGAAGAATAAAAAAACAGGACTATGTAGCACTTTAAAGACTAACAAGATGGTTTATTATCTTGTTAGTCTTTAAAGTGCTACATAGTTCTGCTTTTTGATTCAGCTACACCAGACTAACATGGCTACATTTCTATCACTATTCTAAGATAAGGAGAGACCTTATGGGAAACTTTGAATATTAATGCAGAGACCTTAAAATGTACTCCACATTCAGCGGGAAGCAAACATTAACCTTGTTCCTGTTAATATGTAATGAAGATTTGAACCCTCAAATCTAATTTTAAAGATTGAATAAATTCCATATTCAGCACACGGATTTCAATTGAATTACGTAAACAGAAAATGATACCTAACAGGACTGATATTTTGGAGACTAATGAGGTAAAATGGAATATTATACAATATATATTACACGTTAGGGATAGAAAAGCAGGGTGTTACTGCTTACACAAACTCACCGTTTTCTCTCTGCAGTTGCTCTGCAAAAGAAAGAACATGATCAATCACCATTTGCAGTTTTGTTTTTTAGAATGGAGAGAGGGAGAACGTAAAATGTGGACACTTAAACTACTGACAATATGAACAGTATTTCATGGCCACATTCCAGATGGCACATATTCAGTGGGTATTGATCCAACTGAGTATTTGGTCACAGATTACCACCATGTTAAATTCAAGGGGAACCTCTGTAAACCTGTACTCTTTTCTTTGTCAACGTCCCTGAGGGGGTGGTACACCTAGGTTGTGCACCCAGGTAAGAGGAAGGGTCTAAACTTTTCTTCATTCCAATCAGCTTTAATCACAGATCTCTGTCCTTGGGAGCGCTGGCTTTCAGTTTGGCACAGCAAGGGCCATTGTAAGTTGAATGCTGCTCTCCAAAATATCTGACACGTTGCAAGTGTCTGTCAGAAATGGGCTTTGCCTCTGTGTGGGGACACAGAGTTTGAAGCCTGGAGAATCTATCACAATGTAAAACAAAGTCATTAACTACTAAGAACTAACTAACTAGATAACATCAACAAGAACAAGAACTATCTAAGAAACAAAATAATTTCAGAATTGTAAAAAAAAAAAAACCGCAACAAAACAGGAAACTGGGGAGCTGCAACTCAGGCCAAAGGCATTTGAGAAGGACCTGGAGGATTAAGGAAACCTTCTGGCATGCGTGGGCCGGTGGATGCCACGTATTCGCAGTCTCTGCAGGAACTGCTTCAAAATCTCTGAACGAAGCCCTGGGACGGCACTAAGGTTCAGAGGGTGCATCGACAGGGACCTCTTGAAGAAGAAGAACTAAATTTTTTTTCCTGGGAGTTACATTTCCTGCTGGACACACCGAAAAACCTTGGAGCATTCACATACAAATGCCAGAACACAAAATTATCCTCAGAGCCATGAAATTGTCAGTGTTGCTAATTTCAAACAAACAAAAGAGATTATAAAGTGCAGAGAAGTTGAACTATAAATTCACTCATCTTCTACTATACGAGATTAGTGTGTGCTCGCCAGGTAATACACAGGAGGGAGGAGACACAGACTTACCTATCGCAATCTGTAGGTTTTCTGAAACAAAACAAATAACCAGTGAGAGTGACAGAGCCTCTTCCAATGCTGACACAGATTGTAGGAGAAACTGAGGGAGGAAGTGGTGGTATACAAGAGCAGGCAGTGGCACCATGCCAAAGAGCTGCTGGAGGAAAAAAACCTCCAATGCAAGGAACGTGCGTACACGTCTGAGTGGAACAGGTGTGAACAAGCCCTCAAAGAAGAACACTTGTCCCTTTTGTAAAGGAGGACAAGAAAACTCAAACAATTTTCAATGATTTACCCTGCATCCATTCTTCATGATACAGATATCGCTGAATTGGCTTGGACAGCAGGGACGATTGTGGAGCTAGAGCAGAGCTGGTCCTACCATGAGGCCAAGAGAGGTGGCCGCCTCAGTTGCCAGATTGTGGAGGGGCGTCACTAGGACCCAGAATGTAGAACATTGTGTCTGCTGCTGGTGCATATGTGCATATGGGGACGTCATTTGAGCTCCCTGCCTCAGGGGACAAATATTGTGGGTTGGTCCTGGGCTACCCACCCTGTATATACACCCTAGGGTCCAGTGGGGGTTGTACTTGGAGTGGCTGGCTCGGACAGCTGCACACATGACCTGCATTAACAGTGTGACACAATTTTTAAGCAGCTTAGCCAGCAAAGAGGTAGCACGAGCATGTCTTAGTGATCTGCTAATCACCCAGCCCGCTCCAAGAGCAGATACAGCTCCTCAGGCAGAGACTTGAGCTTTGCTGATGGAGGTAGAATGGAAATCTTACCTGCTTCTGGAAGCTCTTTTTTGATCTCTAAATGAGGACAAGAAACATAAAGCAATGTTCACAGATTAACTGTGTTGTTCCTTTTTCTTCTTAAGACACACACAGACATTGGACGGAAATCCTGCTCCCCAAAGAGTTCAGGTCAAACTTCTCTTGCTGGCTAATCAGAGGAGATCTGAGTCCTGAGTCTCTTTTTACTCCTGCCATTCACAAGGGTTCTGTAGGGAGTCTAAGCTGCTCCACCATTTCTCTAAGTATTCACACACCCTTGCTGTCACCGCAGGATGCTGAGGAAACTTCCAATTAAGAGGTTCCTGGAAATCCCAGTTCCCATTGTTCCTGGGTGGTGGGATGACCTGAGCAAGATTTCCCAAACATTCACATAGGAGAGAGGGGGCAGTTCATAAAGTCTTAGTCCTGGTCTACACAAGGACCTTCATCTGAAATAAGACCCCAAACTCAATTTTGTTAGTTAAGCATCCACGTGAATTCAAAACTGTTACTTAGGAAGAAGGGGCCATGGAATTCGAGCTCCATGGTCCTGCTTTTCATGGGTAATAAGGGTTTTCCTGAACGTGTATGACTGAAATAACATGAATGTGGCTGCTTCAGTGCAGCTAATTACAACTAGTGGGCTTCTGGGACCCCTCCCACAGCTCCCCATGGAACACTCTGGAGCTCTGAGTGTGAAGTACCAATCAACAGAGTCTGCCTTGGACTAGAATTAGTTCTTGCCTGTATTGGGGGGACAGAAATTTGAAGTTGTACAATCAGGTGCCCAGAAGTCAAAATCAGTATTTTTGAAATAATCAACTAGTGTAGACATGGCCCTGCAAAATTACAGCCTCGCTGTAGGGGATGCGTGGGGATATCAAAACAGTGTGGGCCAAAGTTTCTGATGAGCTCGTCATCAGGTATTGGGTTCCCAGTTCCAAAAACTGGGGCACATTTCCTAACGTGGCAGCATGAAGAAGCAGGCAAAGGGGACCTGGCAAGAATCCGACAGGGCCTCAGAACCCAACAAGCAGAGTTTCAGGAGACTGAATTGAATTTTCCAAGGATCTTCTCTGGGTATCTTGGAGGGATGGCAGGTGCTCAGTTTGAGGGGTGGGAAGGACTGGTTTCTCATCTCTCAGAGAAGTTGTGAGGTGTTTGGCGGGGCCACTGATTGCTGGGTAGGCAGGTTTGAGGAAGCATTGAACTCCAGCATCCTCAACCAGAGATGTGCGATAAAACAGACATCCTCCCTCAATACTTGTCCAACACAGCCCTGCAATATCTCCTCTCCACATGGATTTGCAGAGGGATCCTCCACCAATCGAAGTTTCCATGTAACAGTCTAGCTGCATGTAGGGCTGTCAGGGCCCATGACTGAGGTGTAATTCAGAACACTCACCATTTGCTTTTTGGAGTTGCTCTGGGAAAGAATCACAGAGAAAAGAGAAAGAGAAAAATAATGAATGGCCGTGTATGTTTTAGCCATCTGTAGAGCAAGATTAATACAAATGTTGACGATGACTATTGGTCATTGAGCAGGAAAGAGCCTTTGCCAGCTCTTGTCATTCTAAGGAGCTAGTCACATGCCCATTTTTCTCCCTAGAATGCTAGGAGAGAGATTAGGTATCCAACGTATAAAACCATTTCAGCAAAAACTTTTCCTGTTATGTGCAAGTGGAAAAGAAGTCCACGGGGCACAAATCTAACTCTCAAGAGTCTTGCTATTATTTACTTAATGAATTGTGTTCTATAGTCACTCACAATGCTCAGTCCTTTTGATTTGTACATTTTCTTTATTGTGATATCTGGTTGCTTGAGAATTACGTGGCCTAGAGTATGATTTGGGGTGTTCACTTGAAAATGCCAGAATATAAAGCAAAACTACAAACATAATTGGCAAAGAAGCTAGTATGATGTTTCATGGTCCTCTGCTTTCATGGTGTCTTTGGAAGTTTAAAAGAATAGCTGGGGAGGTAAATGAGCACCAGCTCTCAGATGTCCCTCAAGTGTGTCAATGCTATTCACAATGCAAACCAGGGAAACTGCTTCATCAATAGTGGGAAGGATGAGAGAGGTTTAAAGATTAATCAATCCTTTTTTTTCATTCCCCAAGGCTCTGTCTACAGTGCAGGCTACTTGCATAAGAACTTTTGTGGAAAAGCACAAGAGCGCCCATTACATTTTTAAATCACTCGATTAATCGTGATTTTTTAAAACCTCTTGACAGCCCTACTTGAGACCATTGCTCCTCGTTCTGACTTCTGTCATAGCTGAGAACAGCCCCTCTCCATCCTCTATGGGACTCCTCTTCCGGCAGTTGAAGATGCTATCATTTCCCCCTCATTCTTCTGTTCTGTAGTCTAAATAAGTCCAAATCCATCATTGTCTCCTCATAGGTCATGTGCTCCAGCTCCCTAATCATTTTTATTGCCCTTTGCTGGACTTTCTTTAATGAGTCCACGTCCTTTCTGTAATGTGGGCCCAAAACTGGACAAAATACTCCAGAAAAACATCAGATGGTAGGGTACGGTTATAAAATCTGGCCATGAAACAGATAGAGACTGAGCACACAATCTAGATAAATGTTCAGTAAAGTCAGAATTTATATTTACTTATTATTTCCAGGAGTTTAAAATTACTTGTTCCTCTGAAGCAAAACAGAAAAATTCATATTGAAATTTCTTGTACACATTTTTAAATCAATGAAAACATTTGGGTCCCTAAAATGGATTTTTTCCCCCACTTTTGATCCTTTCAGTACAAATGTAACTTTGTTTTGAAATAAAAAAAAAACCCAAAAGTTAAAATACTTTTCTGCTTGCTTCCTTTTAATCCCCCAGATTTTGTTTGTTTGTTGGTTCTCAAAACATCTATGCCCTCATGGAAACATTTTGAAAAGCCCTCAGTCGCATAGTTAATTCACTGGACCGCTAGGGAGAATTTCTGGGTTCTATTTCCTGCTCTAACAAATATTTCCGTGTCACTGTTATGACTTCTTTGGGGGCTTTGCGCAGGACATGGGTTCTTGGTTTGGAAGCAGCTCTTTGGAAAAGACTGTTTGAGACCCATTTCTGTGTCCTGGTCTGCATGGGTTTTGCCCAGCTGCATTCCTCAGAACCTAAAACTTCTGCACCCATATCCCTCCTGCATCAGCACCCCAATCTACCCCCGGTGGTAAGAAGGAACGAAATGGGGAAGGATTGACAGAGAACTATATACAGCACAATAACAATGCCACTCCATGGTGTTCCACAGCTGACTGATGAGTACCGCTAGGGATGAAGACTTAAGATGACAGCGAACGTGGTAGTGTTATGGAACGATAAGCCCTCTGGATCATATCTGAGTGAGCCACCTACATCTCCATATGGGTATGAGCAATCACTCCGAGAAGAATCCCCCCTGAAGATACTTTAGTAAATCCTAGAGTTGATTAACACTTACAGAGGTTTGCACGGTGCAATGCGGAGCTGGTTGCTAAATATTTCCCTGATAAACTCAGCAACTAAAGCACAATCTGGCTTGGCAGTCTCATCCGACAACCTGGACCAACCTGACAATGAAAATACCCTGACTCTCCTCAGTCCCAGTTACAACACTCACTTCCAAGTGACTGCAATAGCAGGATGCAGCCCTCTCAGGCTATGTCTAGGTTACAGTGAAAAGTTGGGAAAAGACATGCAAAGATAAGTATCTCGGAAAAGCTTGGCACTATAGATGTAGTCTCAGGCATTAAAGAAATCCGGTCTTCTCTAATATCCCTCAAGGGGGAAATGACAGACCCTTCTACCTCCAAAGTGCAGAAGCTGCCACCAACTTACCCTTCTCTTCCTTGAGTTGGGCTGCAAAAGAACAACACAAAGAACAATCTTCAATATATGAAATTTATTGTTATCAAATTAATGGCCCGACTCCGATCCCAGTGCAGGCAATAGACATTTAGTCACATACTTCTTTGAAGGAAGTAGTTTGGATTCAGGAATGCGCTTTTCTTTTTCTGAAACACTTACTCTGCCCCAATATGATTGGATAACTCCATTGAAGCTTTAAAATGTCTCTTTCGATTTCTTATGTTAAAATAAAAAGAGGGGTTCCAAATCATCAAAGGAAAGGAAAAGTTATTTCTAAATTAAAAATGAGAATGTTCATCATTTATTAGTGACAAAATTTACCCTTTCTTATGGGAAGTTTCAGCTAACATCACAAATGTTGAACGTTAATGCGGAGACCTTGAATGGTACTCCACATGCAGTGGGAAGCAAGCATTAACTTTGTTCCTATTAATGTGTAATGCAGATTTGAACCCTCAAATCTAATTTTACAGATTAAATTAATTTTGTATGCAGCACATTGATTTCAATTGAATTAAATAAACAGAAAACGATACCTAATAGAACTGATATTTTGGAGCCTGATGAGGTATAATGGTAAATTTAGAGAGTCGACAT